GGTCGACGTATCGTTAATTAGTGTATCGGTGAAGTGTCGGTCGACGTATCTTTAGTGTATCGGTGAAGTGTCGGTCGACGTTTCGTTAGTATGTCGGTGAAGTGTCGGTCGACGTATCGTTAGTGTATCGGTGAAGTGTCGGTCGACATATCGTTAGTGTGTGGGTGAAGTGTCGGTATAGCGTGTAGGTGAAGTGTCGGTCAACGTATCGGTACTGTGTCGGTGTGAAGTGTTGGCTCTCGTGTCGGTAATGTGTCAGTAAAGTGTCGCTTGTATGTCAGCTTGCTCACCGACCAAGTGTCGACCTAAACGGGGGTATTGTGAAGTGCAGAAGCACCGATAGTGTACCTGTAAAGGGTCTACCGAAACGAGTTAGCTTGACAAGCAAAATAATTAAGCAATTCCAGTTCTGTTGGTGATAACCAACAGCTTGTTTCATCACTTACATTGTCAACTACTATAAGCCCGCCTTTACGAACAAGTTGCAACGATTTCTCGTAGTAATCGTCATAGGATTTCTTATCAGCATCAATAAAAACCATGTCATAGCTCTCAGCTTCTCCTGCAGACAACAGTTCATCTGAAATACAACATAAATGTTGATACGGACTTAAAGTTTGCTAAAATAAGATAAAGAAGCAAGACTTTTATTGACAACCAATACGCGATCCGAGAACACGAGGGTTATAAGCGAGTTACCGCTTGTTGGGTTCTTAGACGTGATACTGTATTCTCACGGTCCGGCAAATTGCTAAGACAATTAAATGCCGGGTTAGGGTGGGGGATGTTTGATGATGGGGGATAACCCACAATATACCGTATATCATCAAGGGGGAGAAATAATATCCCTAATCGCTTCATGCTAGAGAAACTGGTCAAGGTCATTTAATGTTCGGAAATTTTTAAATTACCAACCTCATCTAAGGAGTGTGAAAACCTGATTTAATAAAAAGTCATCGCTTACAGTTAGCTCTTATTTCTGGCGTCACATGACTGCATATGCGAAAAATATTTGAAGGAAAATAGACACAATAGCGTCCATTTGGCGCGAAAATATGCTCGGATATTTGTCCGCGGACATTATCTGTTCCGAGAAGCGAACAGTTCTCCGAGAGGACAGCTCGAGGAAAACTGCGAGCTTTGAGCAACGGATAATTTCCAAGGAGAAATATCCGAGCATCTTTTCGCGCTAAATAGGGTTTATTGTTTGTTTATCCACTGTTCATTGTGTGACTGCCATTACCAGGATTTATAGAGCAAGGCAATAGTTTGCAAGTTACTCTTTAGTGGGAGCAACTAGTTATTCTCAATTAATATCTCTTACCTAAAGTGGCGGTGGCCGATTGCAGCCTTAAATCTATCTTCGATTCAACACCTGCCTGTGGAGAAAAAAAGGAAACAAACTGAACATTTTGAACTTCAGCTGCAATATCGTACATGTAATAGTGGTTTCAACAATTGTATTCTTCCAATTTGCATTAAGTTTGTGCAGAAGCATATCACCTTGGTTTGTGACCTGAAAACTCGACTACCCGAGGTAACCAGTGTGCGTCCCATATTTACCACGTGATTTGATATTGGCCAATCCAATGTCGTGATGAAAAACGTTAGTTGTACAAAGCGCAAAATGTCCGAGACTAATAATTATTGATGGTTTTGATCAGACCTGCCAACTCTCCCGGTTTTCCCGGGAGTCTCCAAGTTTTTCATCAAGTCTCCCGGTCTCCCGGTTAGAGCACCAAATCTCCCGGGAACTACCTACTGTGGCTCTTGTTAAATTTTTTTTTTCATTAATTTCGTTATTTTCGAGACGTCGGGAACGTTCGGAAGGCCTTCGGGTGATTGTCGGAGGGTATTCAGACATTGTCGAAAATTATATTCTTACAATGCAAAGATTTCTAGCCGCCTCCAGGTTTTTGTACTCTGGGGGTTGGTAGGTATGGTTTTGATAGATTTATGGAGATTATGGTCTTCCAAGAGTTTTAGTAGATGTAAATGTGAAATTCCAGGATCTGGATCTTGGAAAGTTATGGCGTAAATGATTACAAAATTCTGCATTTCGAGTACAAGGCTTCCCAAAAGTTCATGGAAAAGGTTAAAAAAAGCATTTTAATGTAACTATGAGATTCCAGGAGTAACTAAAAATGAAGAATATTCAAGGAGTTTTCTAGTCCAGGAGCAGTGCAAACCCTGCGAGATGGTTGTATAGTGGTCACATGGAATTAAATGTGGTCAATTGTAGATCCCAGGCTTCCTTAAGCCTAGTTCACACTAGCGAGATAACAACATAGGAAGGGAGTCATGCCGTTATGTTTGCAGTGTGAACATCCCGACATAATGACATAAGTGGAACATAACAGCAAGAACATCACGACATCATGAAAAAAAAACTGATCTTTTCCCTGGCTTAATGTCGATGTTCACATTATCGACATGAGCGATTATGTCATTAAGTCTGGTATNGGCCTTCGGGTGATTGTCGGAGAGTATTCAGACATTGTCGAAAATTATATTCTTACAATGCAAAGATTTCTAGCCGTCTCCAGGTTTTTGTACTCTGGGTGTTGGTAGATATGGTTTTGATAGATTTATGGAGATTATGGTCTTCCAAGAGTTTTACTAGATGTAAATGTGAAAATGTCAGGATCCGGATCTTGGAAAGTTATGGTGTAAATGATTACAAAATTCTGCATTTCGAGTACAAGGCTTCCCAAAAGTTCGCGGAAAAGGTTAATTCCAGGAGTAACTAAAAATGAAGAATATTCAAGGAGTTTTCCAGGCCCTGTAAGAAAATTTTTAAAAAGTCCAGGAGCAGTGTAAACCCTGCGAGATGGTTGTATAGTGGTCACATGGAATTAAATGTGGTCAATTGTAGATCCCAGGCTTCCTTAAGCCTAGTTCACACTAGCGAGATAACAACATAGAAAGGGAGTCATGCCGTTATGTTTGCAGTGTGAACATCCTGACATAATGACATAACTGGAACATAACAGCAAGAACATCACAACATCATGAAAAAAAAAAAAAAACTGATCTTTTCCCTGGCTTAATGTCGATGTTCACATTATCGACATGAGCGATTATGTCATTAAGTCTGGTATGTCAATACTGTGAACCAGGCCTTACTTTAAGCTAAGGTCAGGGAATAATGGTTGTTTTATTCATCAAAACAAACATCCTGTCCAAGATGATGAATACAACTACCGCGATTCCCTGTAGGTGCATCTCATAGAGGGAACTGGCCATTGGCCACGATTGCTGTGGTATCTTCCAATCAGTGAATGACTAACCTCTTTGAAGAAACGCTGACTTTGCACGTCGTTCATATACTCATCTGTTATGTCACATGCCACAACTTTACCGTCTGGGGGCAGTGCCATGGCCATACTCAGAGTATTGTAGCCAGTATAAACACCTGAAAGGAAACATGCTGTCATCATTTATATTTCCTGTGTATTCCATTATCCTCCTCAATAATTTCACTGTGTTAGTGGTCACTCCTCTGGCCACTGCACACTATTTAATAGTTTAATATAATTTCGAATTTGTATTCGAATTCTTTCTTATTTGGTATTTCTCTGAACCGCAAACGACTTTTTATGTAACCAAAATGAGTGTAAATAAAATGAGCTTGAACTTGCCATGAGGTTCGCATTTTATTTCACGCTGGGAAAACAAAAATGAGCTTGTTCCTTTTTGATCTCATGGCTCCAAAGCAACACCGTAAGTAAAACACAACATAAGAAGGTCAGGATTTTTTATCATTATTATTTCATGCACAACAAGTTACAACACACTACTTATAACTATTCAAAGGTGACTTGTTATTTTTTATTTATTATAAAAAACTGATTATTCCATATTATTTGATTTAGCACATCTCCTTTTGTTTCCAGCTTAGTGCTATTAATTTTCTTCCAGTGGGAAATTATATCTTGATAGAATTTTGGTAAGCTCTTCAAATGACAATGACAATTAAATGAAAATGACAAATTGTGATGCTTATCATAAAGAACATGCTTCTCATTAGCAACCAATCCGGGACATTAGGCAGCATATGATGGCGTAGAAACTCTCAAATGCAAATGTCAGGATCATCAATGAACAAAGCACAAAAGACATGGCTTTGTCATATTCTAACAAAAAACGCTGATAAAATCACAAAGCTTAACCTGTGCTGGGCACCAGATGGTAAAGGAAACAGTGGAGGTCGAAAATAACATGCAAAGGTATTAGTTTCTAAAGAAACTGTTGAGCTGCGAGCATTAGTCCTAATCGTCAGAGCAAAACGTTAATAAATGGTTGAAACATCAGCTTCACTAACTCGCTACGGCGATTAAGTTGCCTTCATCATCTTCAAATTGATGAAAATGAGTTCCACAGTTAGCTTAAGAGCCACCAGCTGTTTATCTGTCCAGGAATGAGACCTGTGGATAGGTTGCCAAGGACCTGGCAGAGTGCAGATTTGGTTATCTTGAACGATAAAGAATCCCAAGTCCCATTTACGTTAGATCAAATTGTATGATGTTTCGCAGCTAAAGTTCAGCACGTGATAATTAGTGAATCGTATTGTTTGAACCATTCACTTATACATGGGGATTTGCCAACCGGCATCCCAGTTGGTGGACCAGTTGAAAAGATAAGAAAGGTCAGTAGGAATAAGCAAAAAACTCAAAAGATGCATGACACAATGCAATAAATTAAGTACGAGGCTCAAAAGGCTCTAAAAAGTGTCAAATGGTTGCTTATAAACTAAACGTTTCGGGCTTAGCCCTTCTTAAGTAGGTGGAATGATCGAGCCATGCAACAAAAAGAAAGCCATGATAGCTATGACAGATCGAGATTTATTATATTGTACCTAAGTTTCTAGATCAGCTTGAAATTTTTATTAGTCTATTGATTCGATACTGAATTTATTTTTAATTTGATTATGGTCAGTTGTATATTTAAAGACCATGGGGTAATTTTATAATTTTTTTGTTTATTATTTCACATTTTATTATATATAATATATATAATCTTTGTAACCTGCATTACTGAATAAAATAATGATGATGATGAGGTTGCCTGGTTTAGCACTAATAACACTTTAATAGCACAGCTATAATGATCATATTACCATCCTTACCTATTTCTATAGTCTTTTTCGCTTTTATCAATTGCAACAGCAATCTCATAAGCTGAGCTTCATCAGCACTGCAGAGTATATGATTCAATTTATGGTTCATGGTTGCCTATAAAAAAGAAATCAGTAAATTAATGCAATATGCCATTACACATATAGTCTCATCGTCCCACTTACCAAATTGAGTATTACCTTCTTCCCCTCTCCTCCCAAGTAATATGATACCACTTGCAATTCAATTTCTCGTAATTGTTTTCGGCTAATGAGGGACTGGAAACTGGAAACTGGAAAATTTAGCAAATTGTAAGGAAACTTCCGCTGTTCTGTTCCAAGCGGAAAAAGAGGACTACCTCTGGCCTGGAGGTAGTCTACAATTTCCGAAGAAATTTTCCCAAAAATTGCTGTTCCATTTGACTTTCAACCGAAATTTCCAGATTTTTTTGCTAAATGGTAAGCTCCCAAGGAGTCCAGTCTTCCATTTGTTAAGGAAGAATTCTGTGCACAACTGATTTTGATCTTTTTCTTTCACCAGAAGCGGATGATAATAGCTTGGTGGTCTTCTCCTTGTGGTTGGCCTTTGCTTGCTACCGGGTCGGAATTTTGTCAGGTTGTTGATAGATGTGAAACCGAATACTGAAACTGAACTAGTCTCCTTGGCAGCCGTTTTTAGGGTCGTCACGCAAAGCTTCTTAGTGGGGGAGAAGCGTTGCGTGACGACTCTGATGAAACTGAAAACGCAAGCGGATTCCATTCGCGCGAAACTTTTACCTGTCGTGAATGCTTTCATTTCACCTTTACTAATTACATGTTTCATCACATCGTTATTTCTAGAAATATGCCTTGCCGTTATTTTTCATTTATTGATTTGACAATGAAGGAATTCATTGTAAGCAAAGCTTAATGACCAGCAGCCGGTCAAGACGTTCAAATCACTTAATGGCCAGCAGTCTCATACTTTTGACAAATTTAAAAAAAATTAACGAACCGATCATAACCATGAGTAGCATGACAAGGATCTAACAGGACAGACCTCACTCACGTCTGAGGTGTGCTACAAATTTCCCACCACGAACAAGCGCCACGCTTGATAGGAAATCGCCATGATGTCACGACCTGACAGCCTTCGAATCCTACACTGATATCCCTGTACATATACCAACCGTTAGAGTGAAATTCATAAAGCTCTTTTGGATCGCATGACATTTCTCAATCGACATGAGATAGATTGTATATGATCGGTTCATTCGATTCTTTAAATTTGTCAAAAGTAAACCTAGTAGACTCTTTAAACTGTTTGAATTGAAATCTATAAAGTTAGTAAAGTTCTTCCGGATTGCATCATACTTCTTACTCGACCTATGATAGTTTGGTCGTGACCGGTTTGTTCGATTTCCTACATTTGTCAAAAAGTATCGGAGTGCTGGTCATTTAGTCATTTGAAAACCTTGACCAGCTGCCGATCATTTAGCGACCCCGGGCCCAGGATCTTTAGGATGTTGTTCTTTCGTTTGATTGCCGTGAGAGTGATGGCTTATTTACCGCCTGGTTGGAAAATGTCGTTGTTTAGCTGTTACATCAAATTCGTCCGTAAAATTAATTATCTGCCATTACATTCTCACCTCTCTAAGTTTCCTGAGTGGTGAAGGCTCTCGGAGTCCATATTCCATAAGATATTTTGTGACTGGGCTGTTAATTTCCATGTGCATTTTTGTCTCTTTATAGTCTTCATCGCTCTTTCGCCCAAGAACCCGAGCAGCTACAAATCCTGCTACTGCGGATGATACTGCAATGCCCACAGCTCCGAAAAACAACTTGTTTTCGCTCAAAAAAGACATCTCTCTGAGATGTATCACACGATTTAAATTCAAACTTGTCAGCGCCTGCGAAATTATGAGTCGCATTACGGCGTTACAACATCACGTGACATTTTTATCTTGAAATTTGCATTTAAAAGCAGCTCAGTCACGGTATTTTGAGTTATATTGGCCACGAACAAAATTACCTTGGAATTGAAGGATACCTGAAAATAGACATTTACTAAGATAGAAAAATAATCAAAGAGATAATAACAAACCATAAAGGTACAACGATGGTTGAGGATGGAGAAGATTGACACGGTTTACAACGGAGCTTATGACTGAAACAAGATTATAATCAACCCAAGCATCAAACAATATGGCGCACGTAGCGTTGAAAATACTGTTTTGCCACATTTAGTTTGCCCCGAAAAATTATTCATAAGCAAGACCCCATCATCAATATGCGAGCAGTGTTTGGGATGATACATACATACATATATCTGAGAGATTCCGCAAAAACATGCCGTCTAGGTTTTCGCCTGGATTCAGGCGCAAAGGCTAAGCTAGCGACCTTTAACCCAGGCGAGAGGGCGGGGGGGGGGGGGGGGGGTATCCAGACCTTGAGCTAAGGGGGTGGCCCGTTTTTTGTTTTTTTGCTTGCCCTGTCGGCTATTCTTTCTTGTGCGGTTTTTTTTTACCCAAAATAAGAAGGGGGGCGGGGGGANTCACGGCCAGGCTAGGCACATGGCCCAGGCACTGGCCTATCTGCTGGTGGTTTGCTGGCGGCCAGCTGTCAAAAGCAGTGGGGAGGGGAGGGTGTCTTGTACTGACAACCCCAGCTAGCTGGACTTTGAGTTTTCAGTGTTAAATAACCTTGATATTGACTGTGTTTCGGAGTGTTTTACTCGGGTTGTTGAACCTTGTTTGAGGGTTTTGCGTTGACCCGGCACCCTGCTGGAGTGGTCCATGCCACGTGCATGGGTGAGGGGCCAATTTCCTGGCCAGGGGGGTGGTCAGAGGACTTCTGGCCGGTGGGACTGTCTTTGAGTCAATGCGCGCATTTTTTTGCGAATTCGGTCAGATATACTTTATTTGTTATAGTAGGTTAAATTAAAGGCAGCCAGAGGCTGATGTGGACCTACTGTCTACAATAAAAAGTATGCTGGGTAACAATGGCAATCTGTTAGGAATAAAATAGGTGGAAATAAAAGGAATGAAAATGTAACAAGGGGCATGTTAAGTTAATATAATGGAAGGGAAAACTACATCACATTTTGTGTAAAATAAGGCTTGGAAGTATACTAAATATGCTATTATCAAATGAATAAATTCTTTGGGATTAAAATTGCTATTCCAAAAATGTCTTAATTCTTATGAGAGACCATACACGAATCTTTCAGAAAGCCGATATTTTTAACAAAATTCTTGTGACGACGTTGTTTCAAAAAGTCATTAAAGTTCTTTTGGGAGGGGGACTGTTTGAGAGAGGTTGGGGTTAGACCCCAAGCTAGTGGGCCTCTGTGTCTTAAGGAAGTTCTGCCAATGTCCAAGTTGAATCTGGGTAGTACAAAAGAATTACTATGTCTGAGATTACAGTGTGGAGTGGCAGTACTTAAGAGGTTTGTTAGTTTATCTGGGGTGATGTTACTATTTCCTTTGTACATTAAAACATAAGTGGTTTCTTTTTATATTGATTTGACAGTGGCTCCCATCCAGTTGTTTCTAGGGCGTAATGATCTAGCATACCTCATGGCAGTCTGTGGATAATTTTAGCTACCCTTGCATCAATATGTTCAAGCTCATTCATCAATGATGGTGTGCTAGTACCCAAACTAAACCACAATAAGTAATGGTAGGGACAAAGTAAATTGTTTCTAGTGTACATGTGCTTGTTGGTAAGTATTTAAATCTTTTAAGGGCCCATTAACCGATTCATGCGCGCACTTGCATGCATTGCTAAGGAGGTGAAATTTAACTTCTGGCTACTAACGTCAGCCTATGCGCAGAAACTAAACACAACTCAATGACTTGCAAATTCGCTCACATTTTAGATGTTTTTTCTTTGTGTTTCACAAGATGCAAACTAAAAAAAGTACAAGCAAAGACAAAATAAGAGAAAAACAGAAAAACAAGAGCAAAAGAAAGGGCTGAAAACTAACTCCGCATGGCTTTGTTTGATCTTACCGAAGTGCGCTGATAATGTAAATTGCTCACGCACTGATAGGGTAGCTTCCAGTATATATCGGGCGCACTTCCGGTTTCATTAAACGTTAAAGGAAATGCGGTTTTTCATTAAATCGAGCCTTTTTTGACGAGTTTTGAAACATAGCTATGCATTCCATTTTCAAAATCATGCTTTTTTCAGAAAAAGTCCCGATAAGGTAATTTGCCTGGGAGCCTTTGCATTTTTTCAGTATTAGTCACATGACTAACGGCGTGGCCTGATGAGGTCATCACTAGTGTTACTGGTCATGAAAAAGTTAAAACACATGAAATAACTCTGAACTAACTAAAAATGATGAGGTTTTATGAAAATAAATTTTCCTTAGCAACGGCTCGAAAAGATCAGTTAATGGGCCCTTTTAGGCTGCCTTACTTTCTTTCCAAAAGATCTACAGAGGTGCTCTGATTGACTGTTCCAAGAGAGCTGGGAGTCAATAATGACCCCCAGACATCTAACTTCGGAAACACCATTCAGGATCTTATCTCCTAGTTTGATGGGATCCTGATACTCAGAGGATCCCCGAATGTTTTGTTGTAACTGTGTAGCCAGCATTCAAAGGGTTCAGGAGAGAAGGAAACTAGAAGCACGAAGCCGGATCAGGGGAAGGGGATTGCCCTTCGCACTTTTAGTTTCCCCCTCCCCCTCCCCCTGTGAACGCCGGCCACGCAGGCTAGTTTTGATGAGGCTATGTAAACAAAGAAGAGTAAGTCTTTTTATTGCTTTTATAAAATATTTCTCAAAAAAAAAAAGAAAAGAAAAACAACCATGTTTACACACTCTCATCTAAACACACCTATCAAACAACGAAAGTGTGCATAGCATCTCAGTTATTTTATAAATTTTCAATACAGTGAAATCTTGATTTATCAAACCCTTGATTTTTCTTCCCTTTCCACCAGACGTAACTAATCGATGATCAATGCCAATCAATGAGAAATTGATGGATAATCAATGGGTAATCGACTGATATGGTCAATGACTCTTTGCAGTGATTAAATTATGAGTAATGGCTGACCAAAATTCTTTTAGACTACAAGTAGTCCCTCTTTTGCTTAGTCCATCATACTTGATGCGAAAGAAGATTTCAAGCAGCCATTTTTTCCTCACAGTTTATTTACAGTCTTACTCAACGGACTAAGCGAAAGAGGGACCACTCGTAGTCTACAAGGATTTTGGCCAAACGAATACTCATCAATGTCATTGATTAGCCATTGATACTATTGGTTACTAAACGATTACGGCTCTTACTTAGTGTGGAAGACAGTTAACATAAAGCAATAGAGAACAAAAGGACAAAGGAATGAGGAATACAATGAAAAAAATAGGTTTGATGGGCGGTGTTCTATTGTTTTACGTCAACTGGGTCTTCTACACCAAGAAGCCTCAATTGATTGCACATATATTATTACGCTGCACATCTATCACAATTTTCCGACATTTTTTGGCTTATTATATTTGACTTTTCTGTTATTGCATGCTACTAAAGAAAATAAGTGTGATGCATCAGGTACAGTCATTGTACGTCATCAATGAAAATTTTGTGGCTTATCAGTGAATTATTCACCGATTACTCATTAATCATCAGAACTAATCAATGACTAATCAAATGACTGCCCATCAATTACCAATTGATTACTCATTTTTTAATTGATGTCATCAATTAGTTATGTCTGGCAACAAACATGTCGAAAATGAAAATTAGTACATTGTAAAATGTTTAAATTCTCTTTAGAAACAATACAGCACAAATAACGTTGATTGCTAAAAGTAATCCTCCGTAGGAAAAAAGATGGCGACTGGTACATTTACCCATAGTTCTTAGCGCACGAAAACCTTAACAACGTTCAGAAAAACGTACAGAAACGTTATAAAATCTTGAAACCTAGGCTACTTAATGCCCTTGGAACAGAGACGAATATTGTAAAAGAAATTAGTTTTCTTTGTGCCTTATAGGCTCTGTTAGACTCGCGGGGCATTGTGGTAAAATGTATAGCCGCCATCTTTTTTCCTACGGTGGATTATGTGTATGCTTTAGCTTATCTTCGTGGAGTTCTGCCCGGGAGAACTCCCATATAAAAAAAGACAGGGATGCTCCTCAGAAATTCTGAAAAGAACCCCAAAGAGGTACCAACATCCTGTTTTGTAGGCGTGCCGGTTGAAAAATATTTACCGATTGACCCTCTTAAAAGAGCAGTGAAACTATTTTTCAACCGGCAGCCTGCAATAGCAAAAAATCAAATTGGACTGCAAATGATCCCAGATAGTTCTACCCAGGGCGACTCCCATATAAAAAAGACAGGGATGCTCGTTGGAAATTCTGAAAAGAACCTCAAAGAAGTACCGAGGTCCTGTTTTGTGGGTGTGCCGGTTGAAAAATATTGACATTGCCCCTTATATAAGAGCCATGACATTGTTTTTCAACTGGCAGCGTGCAATAGCAAAAAAAAAATGAAAAATCTGAAAACAAAAAATCACAAAATATTAGCCCTTGATGAACTATTACTAAAAATATGAATTTTACCTCAATCCGCTTAATATTTTAGATGTACAGAGATAAACTTGGTTTCGCAGCTCTCAGACCAGGTTTCAGGCGTAGCGCTAAGACCTGTACAGGCCCGCAAACGATCCCAGTCCACAAATGATCCCGGAACTGCAAATGATCCCAGACCAGAGATGATTTCCTACAAAATGATACCACCAAAAAATTAGGATTGGCTCGGATTCTATGAAAAGTCTATGAAATGCATGTATTTTTTAGCCATCTAAAGTGAAGGAAAGACAAGCACTTCGGCATAAATGCAACATGAAAAAAAAACTGTTTGATTGAAATACCGCGCAAAACACAAACTTAATTTAGGAAACGTACTGCAAGAATAAAAATACATATTTGAAGATGCATCCTCTGTCTATAGCCACTTTGAAATTTTCCCTATACGCTACTTGCGTGCTACATGGGCCTCCAAA